ACTCGTGTGAGTGCTCAATGACGGTTGACCCTCACGAGGTTGTTTCATTATCTACATGAAAGGTCTTTGGGATTAGAAGGGGCCTTTCTAGACACATAAACTGCCACCCAGGAAGACTGTCAGGGAGACTGTCTCTGGCCACATCACTGGGCCACTAATCAGGGTGCCATCCAGCACTGCTTGTCCCTTCTAGGGAGTTTCTTTCATGCCAGTCTGGAGAAGTTCCCCACATGTGTGGGTTGCCTCCTCTGGTACTTCCCCAAGGTATTCCAGAGAACCGGAATCAAACTGAACCTTAGCCAGGCCTGCCTGGTCAGGTTCAAGACCTCAGCCTCTCATTTGCAAAGCATTGAGTCTTTTCCCTCAACCTGCTCCATCAGGACCCGCACCTTTATACTCCTAGGAGGTGGAGGGTGACAGGAAGTGGCTCAGACAAAGCAGAGAATGGGTCTTTCTGCTTTGAGCCAGTGAGTATCAGGCATGAAGTGGGTTTCAGGCAACCCCTGCTGCTTGGAGCTGGGAGGCACCTCATTTTTGGAGAGTCCTGAAAGCTGCTGCAGAGAGTCAAGCAATGCTCTCCTCTCATACCTTCTTGCCTTTCCCTCTGTCACCACATCTGTGTGGCTTAACACAAACCAAGCAGAATTGGAACATCTGAGCTCTGGCACATGACAAGCCTCTCTAGGGACTCCCATTCTGAGGAAGCTCTGTAGCACTTGGGCCTCTCACCGTGGTAGACACACCCTTTGCAAAGCAGAAGGTGACATTTCTCTAGTGTATATGTAGGGGCCTTTTGTTTTTTTATTTTCCAAAAAGGCTCCCCATCAGTGCCTTGGGGAAACCCAGAGCTGACCAACAAAAGGCAAACCTGCTTACCAGAAAGTACAGTTCCTGTTTGTGCTAGTCTGGCCACTTCTGGGGGTGGGTGCATGAGGCCAGAGGGAAGGCAATCAGCAACAAGTGAACATTTAGGGAAAAGACTGGCAAACACCATGTTGATGGCGAACACCACGTTGATGCCAATGTTCCATTCATACATGTCACTTGTTACTAATGTGTGTTCTGGAGAACTGAGCAGCTAAGTGGGAAGACCACAGTAAGCTGACATGGTCTCCTTGGGTCAAGTTGGGCAAATGGGCAAATGATGAGATCAGCACTGTTTCCAAAAGCTATCTCAAACTACATCATTCCTAGAAGAAACCGTTAATCGTAAAAAATTAATCCCTTCCCCCATTCTCACCTAGTTTTCTTAAAAAGGGCTTTGCCCAAAGGATCCCATCCAGAATGTCTTTTCTATTAAACCTACTAAAGTCAAATCCATGTTCAATTAGAATATTGAGAGGCCGAGTACTTTCAGTCACCTGTTAAAATAGCTCTTTTGACAACGACTCTAATTAACTGAACTAGAAGCTTCAGGAACTACTAACTCTTTATGATCAACAGTTTGCATAGAGATCTACAGCCAAAATAAACCAAAACTTGCAGATGTTCAAATATGTACTGGTAACTCTTAGCCCCTGATGGAAAGAGACACAGACATAGCATTTGCAACCTTTAGTCAGATGCTTAGTAAGGTGGTTAAGCCTAAACTGCAAAATAGAATACTAATTCTGATACTAACTGCAATGATTATGTCCAGTTATTATAGTCACAGGTCTCAAAATCTCTACTGTGAGTAGGAAAATCAGAGCCAAGTGTCAAGACCTCTCTACATGATGAAAAACAGCCAGTGTGTTACACAATTCCAAGCTTTGACAGTCCTGATGAATCTCAGGCCTGGGAGAGAAGAGATGGACATGCTCAAGCCTTTAGCAACAAGTCAAAGGCAGTTTTTCTTTTTTTCAGTTTCTGCCTTTCTCTGGGCAATAAAAAAGAAAGGGAAGAGGAACTTCCCTCTGAAGCCTTGGTGATTTCTTGTTAAGTGCATATATAAATATAAGCATGTTGAAAGCACGTTCTTAATAAAATTATTAATAACTCAGAGTCAGGATGGGAGGAGTCATCTAGTGTGGGATCACAGGGCTTTGAGTGTGTGTTCCCTATTTTTATGATTAGAAGCTGGTTTGCAGAGCAGCCTTCAGGACCAATGCTGGTTGTGTAGCACGAGCTCTGACGTTTCCCTGGGAGCCCAGGTACCTGAGCTCAATATGCCCCTTGATGCTGTATGCATGATTCCCTTCAAGGTTAAGAATTTCTAAAACTAAAATTTACAAACAATAAAACACAGCTGTGTGTATGCACACAAACACACAAGCACACCGACCACTCAAATTTATAGGTTATCTCTATGTGTGAGTCACATGAAATAGCTCCAGAGGCTGAAAGTGGGGTTCCCTGTTGAGACAGAATCTAAAAAGCACCAGAACCCAAGAAATTAAAGAGGCCACGACTGGGAAGTCATCCTCATGGAAAAGCAAAAATGCTGTCGAGGACATGTGAGGTCACTCGAGGTTAATTAAGGTACTCTGAAAAACGAGACTTAAGTAAAAAAATCACCCTGGGTAGAGAGAGGACATAAACAGGGTGGTCTGCCTAGCACCCAGGAAGGGCAGTGTCAGGGAGCAAGCAGGAGCCCTGCTCAGCCTAGGGAGAGACTAGAGGATGGAAGAGGTGCTGTGGCAACAGCACTGTGATCAGGGGACAAGTCAGGTCAGGACACACCCCTGTCCCAGGCTCTCAGCCCCATGTCCATACTCACAGGACAATGCTGCATAACTGATTTGGCCTCCCAAATATCTTTATTTTATGCTTCAAAAGATATTTTACTCCTTTTAGATTTATTCAGATATAACTGACATAAAACATGTATGTTTAAGGTGTACAATGTATTGATTTCTAAAAATCTTGATAATGACAGATGGCCTGCCTATGGGATAAAATTAGTCTTCTTAAAGCTAATGTCCTATCTTTCACCACAAATTAAGAAATTGGACATTTGACTTCTACACTAATTGTCACAAGTCTGGTTCCTGGGAGTCTGCTTTGGGTGCATGGACAATTTGAACTCAAAGCTGGGTCACACCCAGGGATGAGCCCTCTTAGAAGTCTAGCAGTCCCTGTGAATCTAACTTTGACATCACAGAGCCTTCACACCATGATCACAGTGCAGAAAGATGCATGAACCAGGTTAGGAAGTGGGTCATTGGAAGCAAGGTTACAGAGAGTGGCAAGGCTGCCAAACCTCTTCCACCTTCAGTCTGGCCCCAAGCCCTTTCCTTCTCTCTCCCCAGCCTCCCTCAGGTAGTCCATTTGCATCCTTGATTCCTCTTCATCTCCACACCAAGATCCTGTTCAGGGTGCCATCTTCTACCAGCTGGATGGCTGTAAAAGCTGCCTCTTGACTGGCCCCCACTGTGAACACCCCATTCTGCACCCACACATCAATCACAGCACCTGCTTGCCTGGTACATTCAGCAACCACCTGCCCCTCATACCCTCACACTGCTTACAAGGCTCCAAATTTGGGAATGAGCCCTGCAGGAGCTTGGTTAACTCCACAGGCTGGTGTGAGAAGTAAACCAGTTCCTGTACAGCAAGTAGTGAGCAAATGATAAAAGGTTGTGATAACAACAGCCTGGTTAACCAGGCCTTTGTTCATGTCTGTGGCAGTTTTGTCAGCACCACTTGCCATGGCTGCCCACGTGCTATAGGTTCAGTCATTCTTTGCTTTCTTGTGTCACCAGGCTTCTGCTTGGACTCCCCTTCCTCCCACTGTGCCCAGTGAATTCCAGCACACAGGCTTCAGGTCTCACATTAGGTATCACTTTGTCTGGGATGGTTTCCTGAATACCACCTCCCTCACCCCAGAACTGGAATGGTGTTCCTCTATTCCCTTTCCCACATAGCACCAGGAGTGCCTATCTAGTCCTAAGGACCTGCTCTGTAATGGCCAATCTTCCTAACTGCCAACCTACCAAGTCTTAGAATCAAGCTTACAATTGGTATGCTCGCTGCAGGAGCCCCACAGGGCCTGGTGTGATGAACATGCAGTGAATGCAGTGAGGTAAGTGCAGGTGTCCCAGTTAAGTCTCCTCCACTGTAGCCAGGATTCTGAGTTTCAGGCTAGAAAGGATCTGTGTGCAGAGATAACTCACAGAAAGAAATAGTCTAAGAAAACTTCCCCAGGCCATGACCACATCATCTGAGAAGCCAAGGCCCCAGGGCAGCAGGACTCAACTGTTCCACCTCTAACATCTAAGCATGGTCAATACTATATTTAACAGAAACATCTTGGGCCTCTCGGTTTGGGACATGGGAGTACTCACAGGTACCTCTTATACCTAGGCAGGCCTGTTGGGTCAGAATAAACATCTTAATGTCCCAAACTGATCAGTGCCATATTGTCTCACACCCACCAGGGGCTGCTGCCAGAGTACCCCAACACAGCTCCCAGCTCTCCCTCAGCTCCTTGCCAGGATCTTCCAGGCATTAGAAACAGACATTTAGAACATATGGCAAGCCTGCCACCTACAGTCAAAGGACCCATGTATACCTGCCTTCAGTTCAAGCAAAACCTATCCTTGAAGTAAAAAGTTAAATTCTTCCCCCCTAACCTCCCCCACCCCTTAGATTTACACAAGGAAAATTTAGAAAGTCCACTTGAATTACTCTTTGACCCAGTCTGTGTTTTTTCTAATGAAAAGCTGAATGTGGAATCAGAATACCTGCATTCAACAACACACAGTAAACGCTCACAGAGTGCCCAGGCTGCTTCCCTGTGGAAAACACAGTCATTCCAGGGGTGCAGACATTTAGTTCCCATGCTGTACAGAAACACACAACTCCAATATCTGCATTTCTTTCTGCTCAAAGTGAGGATCAACTCTTTTCTCATGGAGACATTAATTCACTTTCTTAGTGTCTGCTGCACTAGCTCCTGGGGGAAAACAGCATTACTGCTACAGCAGCAGGCTCCAACCCAAACCTGCTTCGTGACCCTCATAGGTAGAAATGCAGGTGACGTCCAAGCCTCAGCTAAGCAAGAATGCACTGCAAAGGGATAAATGTGGCTAAGTTGCCTTTTATTAACAAAAATGTGTAGTTGTTCGTAAATGCCATCACAGAAAACACAAACCATGGACAAAACACACCGAGAGATATCCTCAGCTGGGAAATAGAAGAACACGAACAGGTTTACACAGCACAACCACCATCATGAGAAGTAGTCAGATCACTAATGATAACGGAAACACGGCAGCAGGTGCTGAGACTGCTCTTTACAGGCATCAAAGTCAAGGTTAAAGAAATAGCTGCAGCAGTGAAATTAAGGTAAAATATATTCTTTTGCTAAAGAGTATCCTTAGTTCTCAACATATAATACTATCGCATATGTATTCAGTTAAAATAAAAAAAAAGTTTACAAATCACTTCTGGATACTTAAAAATAAACTCTAGGTTGCTTTTCTTTTTGGCAGCACCAGACTAAACTCTGTGGCTTTGCAATATTTCAGAAACTTCAGGTGCATTACAGTCTTCTGAGAAAGGCCCAGTACTTCAGAATTCCAGGTGTGGCTGTGGAGAAAGAACATTACTGGCAACAAATATTAAAACTTTTCAAGATCTGCAGGAATATATTTAGATGTTCTTAAGTGTACACACACTTACACATTCAAGCTGATATCCTAAATACTTTTCCAATTAACATATTTACATTTCTTTTTGGTTTAAGAGGAAAAAAACTACAGGCAAATTGTTCCATCTACATATGAATAATTCGGTGGCCATGTTTCCCTTTCAAGAAGAGTGTGTGGAGTCAGGTGACTTCATTCTCCTGGTCCCCAACAGCTCCTCTGTGACACATGCTCTAAAATGCATGGGATAACTGCTCTTCTTATTCGGAGGCTCTTTTTCTGGTGGGGTCAGAGAAATAGACTACATCATCTTTTTAGGGAGAGGCGAGGATATTTTTTCATTCTGTGGCTCTGCCTGCTTAAAGCATCTCTGCGGGTATTAAGGCCTGCAGCACACAGCTGCTCAGGGAGCACCAGGAGGCCTGCTGCCCCAAGCTGCAAACTGCAGCTGCTCTTCAGCCTGCTGGCCTTGGCCTGAATGTGGAAATTTACCCACTACAAAGCATTATTGGAGGCCAAATCAGAAACTTTAAATAGCTCAACAACACTGATGCTTTCCCCTTTGGCTTCAAAAGTAATCATGACTGAACATTTTCAACTGTGAGGCCGAGTTGATTGGAATAATGAAAAACATCTTTTCAAAAAACATTTAATGAGGTAGCTAAGATCAAATATATCCACAGCATACACGAAGGTGCCTAATAAGTGCTCAGGCATTTTATAATGTATTTTTCAATGCAAACTGCTACAATGCCTAATAAATGCTCGTTCTTTCCAATACCTAACAGTGCATGCAAATCTTCTGAAGGGCCCCTTGCAGAGTGAGAATAATAGCAAGAGGTTGGGAGTGAAGCTGTACAGGAGGGGAGAGGAAGGGCACTCTGGGCACACCGCTTTGGCTGAACTGCTACTGCTCCCTGTGGAACTAAAATGCAATTGGTGCCAACAGAGAACAAACACCAAGTAGAACTTGGGGACCTAATGGAGTAAAAAGGGGGCCTTGACTTCAGGCAGCAAGAAGCCAAGACCCAGGGCACTTTCATTAAGGTTTAGGCAATGCTCAGAGTACCGGCTGCCCTCACCTTGAGGTCCCTGGAACCCTCCTTGGGAGGGAGTCTGGCCCCCTGCTGCCCTGCCAGATGGCTCCTGGTTCTGTGGAGGCTGCTGCTCTCAGCAGCTTGGCCTGCAGTTCTCACTGTGTGTTCACAGGCATGGCTGCTTCTGGCTGAGCAGCATTTCAGATGTCAACTTTAAAGCCTTCTGTTTGGAGTCTTGGACCAAGGGAAAGGTAGCAATATCAATCCTGGCAGGGTGGATTTTGTGACTGTTCAGCACTGTTCACACTCACACACGGACACATTCACACATATGTGCACATGCACACAGATATGTGAAAGTGTGGGGAAGCAGGGCAGCCCCCAGACAGTGCATCAAGTTTTGGAGTGACAGGAGTGGGCAGAGTAGAGGCGCCTGAGGCAAGGCTCGGCGAAGTCCTGGGATGGAGTCTGGATCCACCATCTTCGCCACCCTCCCTTCCTGTCCTCCAAGGCAAGGTGGCCACCAGCACACCAGGGCACCTGGTGGCAAGGCAGGCACCAGGTCGCAGCATTAGGTTTCCGTAGTATAGTTGCTGTAGGCCAGAGGAGGCAGGGCCTGCAAGCTGGTCCCCCTCCACATGCCAGGTTGGGCCTCCATGCGCCCTTGCTCTTTATATTTACCCAGAATGTTTCTGGCTTCTTCTGTGTCCTTCAAGGGGTTCTCTCCATATTCTTCCTTCAGCCACTGCCGGTACTAAAGGTGTTGAAAAGAAAACCAAAATTTCACACACTCACCTGCATCTATGTAGACTTTTACGTATTATTAAGTGGTACAGGTTTTGCCACATATAAGCTGGGAAATAAATGGGCATTGGGCAACCAAAGCTCTGTGGTTGGCCAGACAGTAGCAAGAGGGAGAGATCACTGCTTCTCCAAGGTTTTGGCTTGAGAGATGAAAGCAAGCCAAACCAAGAAAACAGCACTTGCCCCACAGGAAGAGAAATGCAGCTAACATGGGGCCTAGGAAGATGGTAAAGGGTAATGTCCTGTGGCTGCAGCTTGTGCACAGGGACCAGTGAGGGCTTCAATGTGTGATGTAGCTGAGGTGTCCTTGGACCAGATATCCTTTGGGGGCCTCTCTAACTTCAACCTCCATGCTTCTGGGAGTGTACAGAAAGACTGAGGCATCTTCCTGGGGTCTGCTGCCTACATCACCAAAGTCCCCTAAGAATGGTTACCTGATGGACTTCATGCTTCTCAAACTCCTGCAGCTGCCTCTGGAAGCCCAGGTTGGGGTTAGCACAGGACCTCCCGGCACGCACAGTGTGTAGGGCATCTTCCCAGCCAAAGTCAGTGACGGTCATGATGTATGCAGTCACCAGAGTCACACTCCTGGAGACACCGGCCAGGCTGTAGGTCCAAGAGAATGCCACATGGGCAAGGAAGATTTAGGATCCACAAGTCTAGCTTCTGATCCACTTGGAACAAGGTATTCTGTGGACCCCATTTTATAAAGTCTTCCTGCTTTGGATTATGAGTGGACAGCAAGCCAGTATGTTACTTGGATATCACTCAGAAACATACAAATGTCTGTTTCTATTACACTAGAATCTCAAGCATTCTACAGCCATGGGTAATGTCCTATGGCTGCAGCTGGTGCACAGGGACCAGTGAGGGCTTCAATGTGTGATGTAGCTGAGGTGTCCTTGGACCAGATATTCTCTGGGGGCCTCTCCAACTTCAACCTCCATGCATTAACCTCAACCAACTTCAACCTCTAGTGCATTAGCTTCATTTTTTATAGATTTTCTGCTGGCTACAGCTCTGGACACTTCAGTGTTATGATTAGCATCCCTCTTCAGATAGTTCCCATTTTCCCAGACAGATAAAATAACTAAAGCACATCAAAGGATCTTGAGGGGTCTGGCATCCACACAAGAAATCCATTTATAACCTACAGTAGTTTAGAAGGCTTTCCATGTTTTTAAAAAATCTGGCTTTCTTAGATTTGTAAGGGCTAAATCTATAACTTAAAAATCCCATTAAATACAGAAGCCCTACTAAATAGTTTGTGGTCTTCCTAACACAATTAAGCAGAGCACCCCAGAGGACACAATGTACATGTGCTCTGAAACTAAGAGTCAATGTGCACACTCTGCAGAAAATATGGTCAAGTATCTCTAGCAGGCTGAGTAAGGGGACCAATTTAAAATCATATGTAAATTAAGGTAGTCACAGAAAGGTTGAGCTGCATCAGACTTAAGAGTGTTTTAGCAAAGGTTTGAGATGGGGAAGTTTAGCAAATTTCTCATTTTGAGAAAAGCCTGTCTTCAGATTTTCACAACTGTATGAAATACAATTTCCTAGAATACCAGACTTACACATAGTTAAAGAATAAATAATAATAATAATAATAATAATATACTAATATTATACTAATAATACTAATAACCACTTTCAAGTAGTGGCTCTTTCCCAAGGCTTCTGTCAGCAAAAATGACAGCTTTTAAAAAATACCATCTCTTGAGTTGAGGAGGCTATCATTCCCCAGGATCCCTAGAAAGCCTGGTACAGGAGTTCGAAACTCCTCTTAAAGGGCTCCAACTATAAACCCCCCAAATGCTTTAAAGCAAATATAAACAATGTTACAAAATCTACCATTTGTATTTATAACATGGCCTACTCATTTTTTTTTTTAAAGAATTTTTTTTTTTAAGATTTTATTTATTTTTAGAGAGGGAAGGGAGGGAGATAGAGATAGAGAGAGAGAAACATCAATGTGCGGTTGCTGGGGGTTATGGCCTGCAACCCAGGAATGTACCCTAGCTGGGAATCGAACCTGGGACACTTTGGTTCCCAGCCCGCGCTCAATCCACTGAGCTACGCCAGCCAGGGCTTGGCCTACTCTTTTTAAAAGTAAAATAAATAACCACACTATTTCAAGAACTTTATAAAACTGCAAAACACCCATTTGAAAGCAATCAAACTACCTAGTATCCCCACTGCCCCGACTCCTGAGTGACTCCTGTGGACATCACTCGATGGATCTCCACCCTCTACCCCTGTTCTGGCAGGACTGCCACCAACCCGAGCAGCAACATTCTCAGGAGTCACCACTGTGTATTTCCAATAGCAACTTCTCTGGGGGAAACTCAAGAGATTACTAATTAATACCAAGCCTCACTCAAGAAAGAGAGCAGACATGTTCAGCCTGCCCTTTGACAGCAGAGCTCTGGTTCTGGAACGCTGGCAGCTGGTTCCCTACACAAACCAGATATGTTATTAGATTGAATATGAGGTAATATAAATGAGGACTGACACTCACCGAGAGCTTATTATGTGCCAGGTTCAGTGCTAACAGCTTTGTGTGTGCTGTCTTTGTGTTATGCGTGTTAGAATTGCTTTTTGCACAGTGTGTATATGCACCTATGTGTATGTATACATCTGCAGGTGGACAGCTGTATATAAACTGTTTAATTCTAAGAGTCTTTTCAGATCCTTTCAAAGCAAAGTAGTAAGCCAAACACACATAAAAAACCCCAGTCTATAAATGGAGATAGTCATTTTGGTGTTACAGCAACACAATGCTAAATATCCATATGTACAATCCAAACTCTTCAGAAAGAAACTGTCTTGAAAGACCACTGAAGTTTCAGGAATGAGCTTACAAATATGTACCCTTTGTAGGAGGCTATTCTGATGAAATATTAGAGGTAGGCTAAAAAGGGAGTTTCTGTTGTCCAGTAACCTTGACAGTCCCTACAGAAATCCTAACTGTGAAAAGAAAAATCCTAAGTTAGAATGAAATTTTGAGTTCTCTTTCAACAAAAGCAAACAACATCCATCAAGCAGGTGGGGTCAGATGGGATTTATGTTTCAGACTTACAGGGCAGAGAAAACTATTAGGAGATGAAATAATTAATCACACAGAAAGACACTTGACGAGAATCCAAGCTGAGTAGAGCATGCTAAACTGTGACTAGGCAGGAGGCATACATACCAGTGCACAAGACAGCCTTCTCCCCTCAGCCTGCACTCATGAATGAATTTAATACTTTCTTTGAAATGTCTTGTCCTAAGGGGAGAAAAAAAAGAGAGAAGTGACATCTGTCTACTCAACACATGATGAAAAGAAAAATCCGCCTGAGGTTTGTTAGAAAGGTCTCAGTGCCCCACAGCTTCCCACAGGTCACACTGTCTGGGTCCGGAGCTGCCTCAGTGTTAGAATCCATCACATACAACGCTCAGGTCTGAGGAGGGCTGCTGGCTTCTGGGCTTGTCAGAATTTCTCTGCAAGAACTCCTAAAACACACAGTTGTCACTGACTGGTGGTTGTGGTTGGGTGATTTCTGCCTAGTTGCACCCTGGCCACCCCACAGCCATTCTCGTGAGGGAGGTGCCAGGTCCTAAAAGCTAGTTTACTTCTGACAATCTGAAAAACCTAATAGTACTCTTCTACATTGGCCTCCCTTGAGTTTGGTAGGTCCTATCTGCATGCAATAGAAGAGCTGTGTGGAAATGCCAATTTCAGCTCTAATACTACATAGCAGCTTAGTGGCTGTGTGGCTTTCCACACAAAAGTCACATGGCTTCCTTTAACCTCAGCAGTAAAGTGGGAATAATGTTTTATGTGTCAATATGCTTTTATAGACCCTCAAATTCTCCACAATGATAAAACAAGGATCCTCACTTCTTTTGCCCCTTAGCTTTGCTACTACCATTCCTCCTGCTATTCATTCATTCACTTGTGTGCACCAGCTCCATTCCGGGTTTGGACTGTTGGTGGGTTAAGCACATTTACTCTGAGGGGACCTACAGAGTTAAATGCTTTTCAATGTCCTCTCCCTTGAATGGCTTATAAAGCAAACAAAACATCTGAAGTTGTCCATGGACTAAATTCATGTTCCCATAAGCTCTGACTGAGTACTGACTATTTAACAGGGATGAGGATGATATAGTTTCCAACCACATAAACTAGGTCTACTGTCTCATGAAGGATGACAGGACAAATGAACTTAATAAGAATGGGAAATTATTAAGGTGTGGCATAATAAACTCAGCCAGGTCTGACTGCAGAGGAAAGTTACTAAACTAAATGTAGATGCCCAGATGAAAAAGGACGTAAGACAATAGAGGAACTATAAAAGTGTTTGTAGGCAAGCACACTCTATAATCAAACACAAAGCACAATGTTGCCATGGGTGGAAAGTCCTCAGGTCCTATCCAAGGACTCAAGTAGCTCATCTGAGATTTCTAACTAGCAGAGCATTGCAAGATATGTTTTTGTTAAACTGCCCAGGGACAAATGCTCCCAGATATAAATTTATAAAGTGACTCAGGGCACTGCAACTCTACTCCCAAAGACTGGCTTGCTATAGAACAGGCAAGAAAAGGTTCCTATTGTAATCCTGACATCTGAAGTGTTAGTACCTAAAGGGTCCTCAGAGCCGGGATGTGGAGCAGTGAAGTTGTGTGGAAGAGGTGGGAGCTGGGGGTCATGAGACCAGCAGGAGCCCAGACCAAAAGCAAGGTGCAGCAGCAGGAGTGAGGGCACAGGCTTCAGTTTCCCATCTCTCAAACAAAACCAGCAATCAGGAGTTGGCAGTGAACTCTTCTGACTTTGAAGTATTAGAGCTGTGGCAGAGCATCTTCAGTCACATTGATTTTATTTGGGGCAGCAAAGTGCCTAGTTTCTCAGAATATCTCATCTTCCTTCCAGTTCTAGCCACAGAAAAGTAAAGGAAAGCTTGTGGTGGGGAATTCTGGGAATGTTTTCCCTTCCGTATAAAAGGAAAATTATATGTCTCTGCCCCAGGCTTCCTGGCAGGGCACTGGAAGTGAGCACCATGCTTAGAGCTCCATAAGACACCTGTAACCACAGGTGACAGGCCCTAGAGGTGGAAGGGTAGCAGGATGGAAAGGGGGACATCAAGAATCTGCTGCCCAGGCCTTGGAGCCCCACATTCAGGCTTCTTGGTCAAGAAAGTTAAGTAGATAAATGTCTTTACACACTTAAAACACTTTAACTTAAAACACTCTCATTCAGTTATTCTGTTACTTACACCCAAATACAACCATCCTAAATATCAGCAACTACCCCAACAGTTTTGAAAACATTGAGCCAAGTCTTCTGGCTTAGGAGGGTTCTCAGAACACTGCAAAGGCCGCCAGTGACGTAAGCGTTGTTGTGGCAGTCACCAAGATCTTGCAAAGATGACAGATGAACCGTTTTATTGAAACTTCGGAATGAAAACCTCTTCTTAAATCTTGTTTTTACACCTGCACGTTCCAATCCACATGCACAAAGGAACCCAGGTCTTAAATATTGTGGGGTGTACCTGGGTTCAAGAGTCAGCCTTGTCACATCTCAGAATAAGAGAGTAGGGAGGATGTAGGTGTGGACAGTAGGGTGACATCCAAACACCAGAGCTCAGAGGAAGTGTGTGAAGGATCTGAGGAGCCAAGGACGTGCCCCTCCTCTGCCCCTACCAGCCCTTTATTCTTTCAGCTCTGTCTGTATCAAGTATTAAGTGTAGGGCAAACTCATGGATGGCTCCTGTGCATCAGTGCAGAGCCCCAGGGCACCTGTGAAAGGACCACTCACAGCCCTGGCCCAGGAGCACAGTGATGCCAATTAAGTGCCTGCTCTCAGCCCTGCTATGAAACTTGCTCATGACCACATTAGGCACAGGCCATGCCAGGCAGACATTCCTAGAAATGCCTTTTCCAAGAAGAGCCAGGAGGCAGGAGTGCTCATGCCTGCTTTGGTATGCTGTAGGGAGGGGGTGGTTTATTTCCAGGGAAGCTAATGACATAAGCCTAAGCCCTGGTCATTAAACTCCCTCCTCCACAGTGGGAAATACCCACGACTCTGGTCCTGACATTGCTCAACCCTCCAGTGTGAAGCAGAAGCACAATGTGAAGTACCATCCCACCACAAGCTGATTCAATAAACACAGGTTCCCTATTCTTGCTCTTCACTTTGTACCTTTACTTCCACACAGACATGGGAGTTCTTCTGCCCTAGGAAAGCCAGCTGTGCTAACTCAGAAGGAAAGGACAGCTTACAGATGTTGCAAACTCACCCAATATGACTGCTGCTGCTGACAGCCTCGAGGGAACACCCTGGGCCAGGAAGATGGGCACTTTAGCTGAGAAATGGCCTCATGGGGTTTAGAAAACTGCTGGTAGCTGCCACTGTCCTCGATCCTTCTTCTTCTTCCTCAGTTTGTGCTGCGCCTCCCTGTGAACCAGCACATCCCCAACTCTTCCTTCTCTCTGCCCACAGGCCAAGAACTAGAACCAGCCAAGTTTTGCTGGCCCGCAGAGAGCTCATAGAAAGTATGACAGATGGACCTAGCAAAGCCACACCATATAGTGTTCATTTGTTGAAGCTGAACAATTTCTTTGTAGCCTAAGACTACAATGCTTGGTTGCTATGATCCCCACTGTGGGAAATGAGGCAGCCCTGCCCTGTTGAGGACTTTGCTTGTGTGAACAAAAGCCCAGAGATCCTGCCAAGCACCTTGAATGGCAGCTGGGCTTACTCTCAGCCAGGTAAATTGAGAGCAAATCCACAGGATCCAGAAAGCCTCTCCTTCCCCTCAACAGAGTATGAATGTGTGAATGCACATATATGTGCATGTGTGTATGAAAACAAAAAAAAATAGGAAAGGCAAGCACCCTTAGATTTTCTTTTCCTCAGAAAGGATTGCTTAAAAAAAATGTAGCAAATGGGTGAAGTGTTCAATCTGGCCCAGGCCCTAGCAGGTGAGCTCAGATCAGACAGCTACTTCCTTCTGGGGCAAAATCAGCTCAGGACCCCCAGGTCCTGCCGGGTCCCCTCCAGCTGGAACACTGTCCAGGAAGCTCTCACCCTAACCAGAAGCAAGCAGGAAGGAACATTACGGACCCACACAGACACTGGTAGGACTTTTCTATCAATGTACTGAATTAAACACATAAGATGAACCCACACTTATATCAGTGATTCTCCAACTTTTGTATTTCCTGTCAACATTTTTGAAAAATGAGAAATGTATGTAGCACATTTTTCTTTCTTTTAAAATTATTTTTATTGTAAGTTTCAGTTGTACATGACATCTGTATGTACTACAAAGTGATCACCCCTAAAAAGTCTAGTTACCATCCATGACAATATAATTGACCCCCCTTCCCTCCTCTCACCCATCTCCCACCCCATTTCCATCTGGTAACCACCAATCTGCTCTCTGTACCTATGAGTTTGTTGGCGATTTGTTTGTTTGTTCATTTTGTTTGTTTTTAGATTCCACATGTAAGTGAAATTATATGGTATTTGTCTTCCTCCTTCTAACTTATATCACTTAGCATAATATACTTTAGGTCCATCCATGTTGTCCCAAGTGGCAAGGTGTCATTTTTTTATTGGTGAGTAATATCCCACTGGATATAAATGCCACATCTTCTTTACCCACTCGTCTATTGATAGACACTTGGGTTGCTCCCGTATCTTGGCTACTGCAAATAATATTGCAGTAAATATAGGGGTGCATATATCTTTTTGAATTAGTATTTCTATATTCTTTGGATGAATAGCCAGAAGTGGAATTGCTGGGTCATAAGGTAGCTCCATTCTTAATCTTTTGAGGAACCTCTACACTGTTTTCCATAGTGGTTGTATCAATTTTACAATCTTACTAATAGTATACAAGGGTTCCCTTTCCTCCACATCCTCCCCAGCACTTGTTATTTATTGTCTTTTTGATCACAGCCATTCTAACAGGTGTAAGGTGATGTCCCATTGTGGTTTTGATTTATATTTCCCAAACAATTAGTGATGTTGAACATTTTTTCATGTACCTGTTAGCTATTTGTATGTCTTCTTTGGAAAGATGTATATTCAGATCCTCTGCCCATTTTTCAATCAAGTTGTCTGTACCTTACTTTTCATTCTGGTAGGTAAGGTTATTTTAAAAACAAACTAAAAATAAAAAACTTTCTGTACCATCTGGTACAAAATCATTTCATGAAGAACAGTTCAAAACTAAAGAATCTAGGAAGACATGGTCTAAGACTAAAACATAGTTCAAGTTAAATAAGGTAAGTCTTATGAAAAACACAATACACATTTTCCACATATTTCTCATTTCTATAGACTACAAAGTCCTTAGGAGTTGTGTGTGTATGTTCTCAGGTGCATATTCACACATGTGTGCATCTGTCTGGAAGGGCTGCCAAGGGCCACCTAACTTTGATCTTGCATAATTGTTTTCTAAATAATAAAAATAAAGAAAAATGTCAGTGAGTATAAATGATATTAGCTAAACTAAAAAAATACAAAAAGACAAAAAGGTAGAATAAGGCAAGATAATTTTACTGATATTTAAATCTTTGTATTGTTAATGCCTCTTCTCCTCACAAAAACCTCAAGAAATTTAGAGATCTGTTTGATTCTCAAACCACTGAATATCACAGAGACTTTATTGTAATGATGTAATGTTACTGACTCCACAGCACAGACCAGACTCCCCTGAACTTGGCAGAAGGAGAAGATAAACAAACAATAATTATTCCCTCAATGATGTCTAAACACAAAATACTAACTTAATAAACATTAATATAAGAAAGAACTCATGGACATGGACAACAGTGTGGTTGGTGATTATAGGGTAAAGGGCATTAGGTAAAGGTGGAAGAGGGTATAAAGGGGATAAATGGTAATAAAAAATAAAATAAAAAATAGACAACTAAAAATAATAATAAAAGGTAAAAAAGTGTCAAAAAAGAACAAATAAAATAAGCTAGTATACATTTCACAATTCACCATCAAAGTGCATTAATACTCCTTACTTGATTGAATACACAGATAATATAATCTTATTTTTGGAGATGCTTAGTGTTCATAAAAACACTTTTAGTTATCTCACCTAATACTGTAACAATTGTATGAGATAGATATTTTACAGTGAGATAAGTACAATGAAAATAACTTGCCTAAGAAAGCACAGAGAGAAAACAAAGACAAATGTTTACAAAGACTTAATTCACCAACCCACCCCACAATGGCCACTTGGAGAACATGCAGTGTGTGCATTTGATATAAACTCTAGGATGTCTCTAACTGACAAACTATGCAAAACAGGCAGTCCAGGTCTGGGGGGTAATTACAATCATGAGAACTTGAACTTTCATATTTCCTCACTTTGCAAGGCAAGGTAGTTGGGGGAACTGAGCTGAAATTTTAATGTGTTAATGTTATCTCAAACCAGTTTTCTGCATATTAAGTTCCTGCAAGATCAGATGGGGAGTTTGGGAGTGTTAAGGTCAGTACAGAAAATTGACCTTTCTGGGCAGTTAGTTTGCAACAACTGAATGCCACGTGAAAGCAGTTAGTCTCAAAAGGTCACTAACCTCTCACTAAACATACTTAGCAAGAATTCTTGTTGTTATAGAAATTTGTGGGCAAAGAGTTAGGGTATAAAATCTTAAATTATAACCAAAGTTGGAAACAATTTTAAAAATCTGTAAGTTTAAAATAGTAAGCAATACAATTTTCTAGAATTTATTCTGTCATTAAATATAGGCACTCACATCAGACTAAAGAACTACTAGTGCTAACTGGCTACCCAGAATACATTTTCCAAGTAATAGACATAATTCCTCTCTTTTGTTAACAACAGCACTAAGAACATTTGTCTCCAGAGCACCCACACTGATTGATAGAGAAATGAAGTTTCATTTCAGCTTTCATATGTTCCTAATATTTACAGGCTACATGAAATGAGGCAGGTCATAAACAGAGTCAAGTGTTCTGCCTGACAACATTAAATTAATCATCTGATTATATTTTGAAAGCATGCTCACCACTAGAAAGCATGTTATGAAATGCTTGTAACATGTAAAGAGAAACTCAAGGTACTTCATAGGTTGTCTCAACATATGAAGCACACTCAAAGTTCAAACTTAACTCCAGAATCTCCATATAACTTCGGTAGAGCAAGAAATACTTATAGAATCATGGACATTTACATGCCCAAAGCCTTACTATGCATAAGTTTTGCTATTAGTAATGATTTAAAAATAAAAGTTTCCCCAAAGAATCACACAAGTGCCTGTGAGCATAACTCCCACAGCAGAGAGCCAGTGTTCCTGCCTTTCGGGAGCTGTGGTCTGACTTCCCTTTCCAGCTGAAATAGAGGTTGCAGTCTCATAAGACTTCACTTCAAAGAGCAGCAGTAGTGCATTCTCCGCACAGTTCTGCCATCAGCCCCAAGCATGGATGCTGTAGTAACTTCCTGTTGGAAACTGGATCCCACACTGCACTTTCATCCAGACACAAGGAAAGGGTTAAAAAGGCAAGCCACACATTTTAACAACATCTCTGTACATATTTGAGACAGATGAGAACTAACTCAAATCTCATGGGTTAGCCCTCTGGCACTAAAGTGTCTGGGGTTGGGCTGATTTTGCCAGATCTAAAATGACCCCTGAGACACTGGAGCTTAGAGAAGTGGCTGTTGCACCCTCTGGCACCTGGTCTTCCACATAGGCATACCTTCTTTCAACTACCTTTTCTGCAACTCTCAAGATACACTAATACATTAATTTTCAAAAGTGCTCACAGTTCATACAAAACACTTTCACATACATGATCTCATCTCCAAAAATCCTGAAGGCAGGCCTTTTTCAAATGAAAGAATTAAGGTTTAGATGGGTTAACATGACTTACCCAAGACAGATGAAACTGGGTTTAAATGTGAGATACCTAATTCTAGGTGTATTGCCCCCGTGTCCATAGCAAAGGAACACTCAATTCTCAATCCTCACTTAGTAAGTCAAGGTCACTGCCCTGGCAAGCACAATGCTTGTCTCCTCATAGGCTGACAAGTCCAAACACAGGGAGGTAGTCATCTGCCCTGACAATGCCCAGAATGTGTTACAGTTTGATTCTTCCTAAGAGTCAAATCACCAATCAGGTATTGGCAAATTCAACAGTATGTCAGAATCTCAGTTTGTGATAAGAGCAAAGCAACCATTCTAAAAATATCCATCAAAACACAGGCAGAAGATTGCTGTGGCCTTCAGAGAAAGGCAGAGACTCACTTCCTTCCGTATACACCATGCCCTCCCAACCACTTCTGTTTCTTGACACGACTAGTAACCAAGGAAGTTCTCTAAAGCTTCTTCCCCTCCCTCCAGATCTAAGCTTCTACTGTTTTCCTAGTAATCTTAGTAAAATCCTTCCTCCAACAATTTTAAAGATTGACTTTTCCTGTGAAACATGGACAGTCGCTGTGAAAACACAAGCCCTGGGTAGGACATATTTGCCTCCACTTCCAACTTGCTCCTGCCCTTTCCTGGTCTAACTCTATACCACCTGTCCCCTGATCAATCCTCCTCACCCTCCTCTACATCAATCTGTCTGACTCTGGCCCCATTTTCTTTTTTGCCAAACAGGTAGATCCCACAAAATTATTAAATAACCTATGATTTCTCTTCTCTGCAGCAGTGAAAAATCAATGTTCCAATTTGATAGCTTTCAGAGAGGTTAGATACTTGGGATAATCCACATAAGGATACATGGTATACTTCTGATATGTAGGATTTGTAGGCAATAGAACTTGAGGATCATGAAGAATGAATCCTGACAAGCTTATGGACTCCAAAATTCACAAACACCTTCATAGCTTATAACTTCCCTGATGAAAAGCAGTAGTATGTAATTGTAGCAGGGTCATTGTGTCTGCCCTCCAATAACAACGCAAAGCTGCCTGAGAAGCAGAGGTTGGGGTCTGTGGGTACGCTGAATGGCTAAATACCTTACTTCTGCCCCTAGCCTCTCAGCCTGCAAGGTTCAAATCCATGGTTCTGTATACTTTAATCTACTCTATATCATGATCTTTCTGGCTCACTTCTGGAAACTGAAGAGTATGAATGTTGGAGCTATAACTGCTGTGGGTCTCCAGAGACCTGTCTCCCATTCTAACGAAGTATAATCCTATGGGTCTCCATACATTTTCGGTGCCCTGGAAAAGATGGCAATAACAAATTTTTCTTTATAGGAACAAAATGATGTCAAAGATGTATCCAGCTGTGAAGAAATAGAAGAATAGACTTTGCTCAACCAGAAAGATCTACTCACTACAACTCGGACAGGCTTTAGAAAGAAGTATGCTGTTTCACATAGTGGCCCCCAGCCACATGGGGCTGTTGAGTATTTGAAATAAAACTGATCCAAACTGAGCTGTGCTGGAAGTGTAAAAATAGCTAATCTGATTTTGAAGACTTAGCATGAAAAAAGGGATATAAAATATCTCATTTTTTAAAAACTGAGCACAAGGTTGAAATTACAGTATTTTAGATACACTGGGTTAAATAAAACATATTACTAATTTTATTGCCACATATTTTCTTTTCACATTTCCAAATGTGCATCCTAGAAAGTTTAAAATTACATACATGGCCTGCATTTGAGGCTTATATTCCATTTCTATTGCACAGTGCTGCTTTAGATAAAACCTAACATCTTCTTCAAGGGTTTGCTTCTAGAGAAAGGATGAACGTGCTCAAGATTTGGTTTGAGGTATTCTTTGTAAACATTAGACTCTTCTCCACAGACATCCCATCAGTTAGTGTAGAGCAAAAGGACCTGGAAAAAGAAGCATGCCTCCAGCTTTGTCTACCTCGGCAACACAGACAGACCTCTGTGGGCCTTATGATCTCAGCTGTGAGGCAGCAGCTGTGCATGGCAGTAAGAGTCCCATTGGCTCCAATGGCTTCACTTTCCTTTACTTATTTGACTTTACAGTCCTTTATTCATTTATAATAATATAAATGAATATTTATTCATTTATAATAACAGGAAAAAAAAGCAACTTACAGGTTCTGAGATGGTGAATCGGCTGCTGGAATGCACAGGTATTTAACCCCCTGTAGAATGATAAAAAAGAAAATAAAAAGATGATACCCAGTATAGAAAAAATATTTAAAGGAACTATTTACTCAGGTCAAAAAAATAAAAAATAAAAAGGAGAAGTTTTTCACTTATCTTGTGTTGCCAAGGAACTGGAGAAAAACTCTTTAATTAAGGTTCCTGGTTATTTTCCATGACCATGTGTACAAATATTCATGCTCCAATTTGGAAACAGCTTGTAGACTGGGCACATCGAAAAGTGAAATAACTGAGTCCTTTCCAGTAAGTGTTAACAAGTGTCAAAACTATCACCTCAGGTTCCTGTTCACATATTTCACATTTTTAACCTATTTCATTTAGAATCCAGTTAGTAAAAACCTTAGCATGATATCAACAATTATTATGTTACAGTTTCCTAAATCAAATCTTAGTGTGAGGAGAATTACAATTTCACTGATGCACTTGGGGCTTCTACACATTGAAAATATGACTTTTTTTCCTTTCTGGAAAAGTTTATTTACTAAACTAATATGTTTTTTTAAAATAGACAGTTGGAAAAAAACAAACTTCATATAGTTCTCTATCAAAAATGTATAAAAATGTAGTTCTCTATAAAAATGTATAAAATGTTTATATAAATTCATGCTGTACAAAAATCACACTAACTTTGAGTTTTATTAAAAACCTGTTTCTTCTTCACATGTACTTAAAGTATAGTTTAAAAGGTCTTCAATGTCAAGTAAAAATACAAAACCCAGAAATCTCAGCAACCTTTGCAAAAGAATATGGATTCATGAAGACCTAGATGAACTGTTTTGAACCACTCCTCTCTTGGTAGCCTAACCTCAGAATCTTGGCACCATATCATGGATGGTAAGTGTGTGTGGGAACACATCAGAAACTAGAACTACAATCAACCTAAGAGTAACTGAAGGACAAACATGCAGAACAGAGGTGGAGGCAACCATAGGTCCCTTAGCAGATAAAGTCATAAAATAACATACATTCTAGAATTTTTGAAAGTTTTGCAATTGATCATTAAAATTTTACTATTAACTCCTGTCATCAGGAATATCTGTACTGTACATGCTAATGTAGTCTTGTAAGGAATATCTAAATTTGTAGCTGCCCCAAATCCCATTACAACTCCATGGTTTGATGCTCCTCTACATGGTAAACCACACTCCCAATACAGAATCCACACAAACTACATTACTCAACCTCCTCTGCTATTAGGGTGCAGACTTAGGGTGGGATTCATCATTTGACATGCCTACACCAGGCAGATTTGGAAATAGGGTATGGGAAGAGTAAGATGGGTAAACAGTACCTGCTTGGCAGGTACAGATAGTGGCAGAGGTGGCAGCAGACCTCACTGGGCCAGTTGTGTACTGTGGTCTGGATATTGTTCCTAGAATTTCAGCTGAAATCCTGGTTCCTGCAACTCCTCTGAGACCATAGCTCTCAATAAATCACACTGAACTGAAACTGGCTCAGAGTGAAATCTGTTGTCTGCAATGAAGACACCAGTAATATAACTGCCCTCTCTGTCTCCCACTATTATGAGAGGCCAGAAAAATTTTCCCCACTAAGTTCCTATACTTTTGTATAGCTTTGAGTTAATCACTAGACTTCCCAACAAAGCCTCCTTTGCATCTTGAAGAAGATGCTTTTTACCATTGCTCAACCTGGTGGGAACACTTCAATGAGACCACACAGGCTCTAATATGTCAAGGATAAAAGTTGAGGATCAGCTGCTAGAAGAAGACAATGAAGCAGCAGTCTTCCTCTTTCAAGTTTTGCTTTATCATCCCCAAATGCCCCCTTCTGTCTCTGTCCTGATTTTCCTGGACTCTGGGTGCTCTGTTCTGCTGAAAGTACCGGGGCAGTTGGCTGAAGTTCTCAAGCTCCTCCAAACCCATACAGGTATTAGAACAGTAATTTTAAGGGAAAGAACATGGAAAAAGAAATTATACTATAAAGAAAAGTCATTTCACTCCTCCCCTCCATAGAGGCCAAACAGGCTTGTTAGTGTAGATACACACACTGATCATTTCATACATCTGCCACAGAAATGATTCATTTTTTTCTTTTACTCTTAAATGAGAGTTGGCCACGGGTCAAACCCAGAAGCTTGTAGAATTCTTTCCTCCCAGACACTACCTCTTTCAGAACAGTACTTTCAGAGGGACAAGAGTATGTTCAGGTTTCCAACTTCCCTTATGTTTCTTGGACTGATGATTCCCTTGTGATCATCAGTCCAAGAAACATAAATTAGTCAAGGACACTGAGGTGGATCCTCTATAAGATAGAATGAAAACGCATGCCTGTCACACATGCTGACTGATAGCCACTTAATTTGGGCAGAATCTAAAGTCAGCCCAGCCTATATATTGGGAGGAAAGGAAAACAATGAAAAAACAAACAAACAACAACAACAACAACAACAAAAAACAGAGAATGGCCTGAAGGGGATGCTAAAAAAAATCTTAGCTTATTAAGAGCATTTGCAATAAATGCCAACAGTGTGGTTAGAAAGCATTGTGCTTCTTTTAGGCATTAGTGTGACCCCAAATGGGGTCTCATCCCCCTTTGTGATGCCTGATGCACCAAAGGAAAGGAGGCCAGCCCCACAAGATAGGAGCAAACTGCAGAAAAATGGCCAAGGGGATCCCACCCTTCCTGAGCTACAGAGGGTGAGGAGGCAACTCTGGTCTGTGGCAGGACTCTCACCTTTACTAGCTGGGATCAGCATGCAGCATCTACAGCTTCCTATCTGTGAAGCTTCTAAGAGGGGGCAAAGTAGCGCCCAGCCATAAATTTGGGAATCCCCGACCGTTAAAGCAGGACAGAGAAAATATAAAACATAAGATAATATCATGTTCTCTCAAAGATATGACAAAAACCTTCCCTGGAATGGTGTCAGGCACATAGTAGGTAGGCCCTCACTAAATGTCCATTGAATGATGAGAACAAAGTAAAAAACAATTAACATGAAGACCACACTATAAGAAGGATGCAAGAGAAGAAAAATGTTGTAAAGGGCGCATGCCTTATCCTGATGACCACGCAAACAAGGCTGGACTTCTGGTCTGTGCGAAGGGCACACTGCACAAATGTTCCAGATACCAGTCTCTGCCTGTCTCCTCCAACTGGATGTACTAAGGAGAATCATGTGGCTATCTACAATAAGACGGGAACAAACATGCAAATGCAGTAAAGAAAGGAGTCAAAACTGTCAAATATTTTCAGTTGCTTGCCACCCAAGAACATCTATTTATCTTGGCTTAGTCATTAACAAAGCACAAAACATATCTCTCTTGGAGGCCACAGACTGTAGAACATAAGGTACCTGAAAAAAGACTGCAGATGCCTGCACATGTGTATAATTCATGGCAGTTAATTACTAATTCAGAAAGCAGCAAGAGTGCTGGCAGCATGAAGGACCTCAATGCTACAAGAAATCTGGATGAACTTAAAATATAAAATTATCCTAGTGGTAATAGATTGGGCTCTGCAAATGTTTTGATGTGATGTGGAATTGATTTTTCATTTAATTGGACCTAAACAAAAGACCATGTCTAGTGCTGAAGTGTGTAGAGAGAGAGATAAGTGACAGGGTGTCTCTGTCTTTAGCTAAATTATAGAAAGTACAATAAACTTAAAGTAAAACAAAAGGACATGGATATTCTAGAATCTGAAAGATTGTTACATTATAAAAATAGCAGCAGTGTTTCCATTTGTATAGCATTTGCAGTATTTACTACTTTATATTACCTCTAATATTAAAGAATCCATAAAATTAAAATTGTTCATCTTCTTTTTAAAATAAAATTCTTACTAAATAAATTAAAATTCAGTAATTTACATTACGTTTCAAAAAGTGATTGGTGGAAAGCCTAGTAATATTCAACTTTTATGGGCCTAATAAATGTCAAGTTACAGATTTTTAGTTTAGACAGCAGGCCCAAGACTACACTGAAATACAAAAAAAAAAAAAGAAAATTGAGTCCACACTTTAAGACTATCATGGCTTCTATGAAGGAAAAGAAAGAGCAGCTAATTTCTTTTGACTACCTGGCAATTTAAATAGCCTAACATGTTCAGATAATGGCACCAATACTGATAAGATGGGAGCCAGAGGGAGGAAAAAGGCAGAGAATTACAGAAAAGCCTTTTATATACACTGACCACATGCACACTGAATATTCATAATACCAAGAAACACATTAATTAGTATGACACAATGTGGAAAACATTAGGAAAATACAGAAAAGTAAGAGTTATGTGAGACCTGCCAAGTAAAGCTGTTTGGATGAATTTTTTGTATTGAGTTTTGGAAGAAACAATAGACATCACTTGGTTGAGAACAGGGTTTAGAAAGTATCCCAGTGGCTCTTCTTGAGCAAAAGGTTAAAGCTTTCTAAGTGCACATTCTCAAAAGTTTTAGTACCGTTCAGTTTTCTGTTTCAACAAGCACAGTAACCACCAAAAGTAAGTTTTGGCCTTTCTTTGGGCCTGAAACTAAAGAATACACCTGAAATGGTATGTAGTCAAGTACTTAAAAGTAGGGGGAAGATGCTGATTTCAGGACTAGTTAAGAAATCAAACTCTCGCTTGTTTCAAGTACAATTTCTAAAATTCACTGTTTTTTTCCCCTGAAACATCATAAGTAAGAGTCATTGAAGAACCTAATTGACCTTCTACTTTTCAAAAGAAAAATCAAGCCCTTCAGAATCTGTTTTCTCTCTTCCAGGAAAAAAAACAAACACCAGTTATAGAATATAATTATATTCTCTGCAATGACCAATCAAAACCTTAGAGAAAATACAAGGAGAAGGAGAAAGAGTTTGCTAAAGTGCCAGAATCGAAAAATCACTGCAATGGAAGAATTATTTTAGCTGCTAGTAAAGCTGACATTATTAAAAATCTTGGTTTTTCTATCTTATCCCATGAAGTACCAGTAGCAACATGGGTGTGTACTTAGGAGAGGTCCTCCTAAAGAAATGCTTTTTCT